ATCACATAACATAACCCACACTCCCGCCTTCCTGACGTACGTGCGTAAGTGACCATTGGCTACAAGTGCCTGTTTGCACTAACTTACATCACAGCCTTGACGAATATTCACAAAATGCTGCACGTCAGACAAAGAATGTGCACTCAGGAAAAACCCCAAGGACACAAGATAGTACAGGAATCATAAAGATGACCAGCTTACAAAACCAGACAATTATTGACTCCATGAATAAACAATGCTCTCTCCCCTTTTGACGAGAGCAAAGTCCAACACAATCAGGGGACTGGGGATTCACCAACGGCATTCTGACGCCTCCCAGTGGACAAGGGACGCCAGCACACCCGGAAATGAACTTTTAGTGAGACGCATACCGATGACGTCATCAGGGAATTCTGATAAGAACGGGGAGTAGCCATTTTGAGCCCAGAGGAACAAAGGGCAAGCTTGAGGGAGAGAGCATAGTTTAGGAGCTTTTGTTTGAATTTCTGTATCTGATTGTAAAGATAAATTAAATGCAGATGTTAAACTTGGAAAAAGTCTCCGTCTTGTATCCTGGACACGTCCGTCAAAGTTTTTTTTGACATCAGCCTCCGAAGATCCAGAGCTTGATAATCGACTCATCTGATCCACGGGGCCACTCGCGTGGGCTACAGTCTATCGTTGGAGCGCAGCCGGTAAAGAGAAAAAGAAAACTTCAGCAGCTCAGAACTGGAAGTCTTACTGCAGGAGATCACGAGGAGGAAGACGATCATATTTAGCAGCCCCAGTGCAGGTTGCACAAACACTTGCTGAGACGCTGGAGAAGACTGCGTCCACACTGGGAACAGTTTCTAAAACACTTAAAGATATGTATGATCATTTCAAAGGGAAAGTTGTGCTCTGGAACTGGTCTGTCCTCATATTTGAAGTGAATCACAGCAGACTTATATTCAACATGTAATATTTGAATAGTAAGAGTCGTACCACCTCTGCTCATGCGCCCCCTACAGGCCAGTTTAATGAAACCCAAGACGTCTAGGAGACTCTTGCCTCTCTATTGCAAAACTGGCTCCTTAAACCATTCAGCGACACTAGACGCTCACAGCAGAACATTCTCATCTCTTTGTTTCTATCAATCACAGCGTCCGTCATGTTCACCATCGCAGCTGTATTTTAAAAAACAATGGCAGCCTCAGCAAGGTAGTTTTAATGAAGTTTTGATAAATAACACCTTCTCTGCTTTGTCATCAGAAAAAAAACTTGAGATAAAAAGACTGAGCACCCTGTCCTACAAAAGTTGAAATAATACAAAGATAAAGTGTAAATTCTGTATTTATGTAACAGAGAAGATAACTAAACACAAATGCATAGAATTCAGCGGGTCAAAAATGAACCGCCTCAAACTGTCTGGAACTGATCCGGACTTTGATTTCTACAGAGTCTGAAAAACAAAGTCCTGGGACCGTCCCTGTGACTGCAGATGAAACAAAGCCTAGTTGGATAATTCTGGTGCATTTACGCCATGTTTATGAATGCACAATGTCCCTGTCAAATAAACTAATAAAAGACAAACACAAGTAGTGTTTTAAATTTGGAAGATGATCTGAGACAGTGGGCCGTTAAGAAACAAGAAACTCACACATCTCTTCATGAATTGTTCGCCATACTGAAGAAGAAGGGTCACTTACTGCCGGCAGATTCCAGAACCTACTGCCTCCTCCACAAGGAAAATCCCCCAGACCTGAGGCCAGTGTGTCTGTTAAGGCCTGGAGAGAGGGGTCTTAAAGTAGTACTAGAATTTAATATGCTGCTATCCAGAATATATAACTACAATATGTGATTATAATATTTCGGGTGTTCATTTTGATATGTTCAGATGAATTATGTTAAAAAAACAGCTTTGAAGTCGGACCTTTTCACAAACGCTAGGGGGGGCCAAAATGGCGGCGATGACGTAGGAGAAGGACCTCTCACAGCAGCAGCAGCAGTCTGGGCTGAATCTGTAGGAGGTTTCACTGTCATCTGAACAAACTATAAACATATTTACATCAGTTTGTACATAATAGTGTGCAACTCTTTTAACCTTTTAGCCTTATTTGTGAGATTCAAGCAAACTAGTGTTGGGCAAGTTAGCTAACTCTACTTGATATCATAAAACATGCTAACAAGGCTAATATTCGTTTTTACATTATGCCAGTCTCACTTTGGTTGCCTTAGATTTATTTACCACAATGTACATTGTAATATCCATAAATGCTAATCAAAATAACTTGAACTTACATTTTACTTTTATGAACAAAAAGCTGCAGAAGTTGAAAACATAGACTACATGTGATGCAATCATTGATAAAAATGCTAATTAAACCGTTAATAGGTGTTAGCATTTTGTGAGCAATAATGTGACTAATAATGAGCATGCAACTGTGACAGGATGAACATGTGTGTGTGTAAAGCATGACAGCAGCAAGAGGGTGTCACTGAAAGATGACAGCAGACGGCCAAACACATGTTGTATTTGTAGAGTGGGCTAGATCCACCTGCGTGTCCGCGTACTCGCACCCCGCTTCACCTGTCTCCAAAGCATTGTAACGCAATGTCACTGGCAATAGAATGGTACACCCTGTTCCTGTTACCTGTGTCGTGTAGCCACAGACACACACACATAGATCGTACGCTCGGACGCGGTTTGGTACGTGGTGCAGCGACAGATTAACCTGCTGACGCATCTCCAGATCCTCTTTCAGAGACGTCTGCAGCATTTCTCTGTCACTGCGGACATGTGTTTTACGCGTTGCTCGGTCACAATTTCATGTCACAATTGTTCCCTTGTGTGCAGTATGACTGGACCAACATAAACATTTGTAAATGAGCACAGAACATTTTGGCCATCTGCTAATGTCAGCGACTTCCAGCAATCAATATTAATTTGTATGCATATTTGTTGGGTTTGGGTTTGTTCTGCCTCCCCCCTCCCTTTCTGTTTGTTTCAGGGCATGTGTGTGACTGGGGGCGTGGCTGGCTCTGCAGCAGGTGTGTGGGCTCACACACCTGTTCCTCATCAGCTCTGCATAAAGCTCTGGTGCAGACATCACTTCTCTGCTAGATTATTCAGTGTCTCAAGTCAGTGTGCCGCAGCAGTGTGAGGTTTTGCTCTGTTGTTATTTTTTGCTTATTATAACACATATTCATCATCATTCATGAGCATTGGTCTTTCTCTATGAACCAATACACATGGGTTCAATATTTCCTGGGTCTTCGCTGTTGATTCTCCAATCTGTGTTGGTGATTTCAACGTGTCTGTGTGGTCCTCTGAGATGACTGCTGCACAGTCCATCTCACACAAGGCACAAATCTTTACATGAAACACACACAAAGATTAAACACCAGGCAAATCACACAGGTAATGAAATAAACAAAACATCATACAAAAATTCCTCGCACATGTGGGGGAAGACGATGTTCAAATGCAGGTTATGATGAGGGTTGTGTGTGCGAGGAATTTTATCTCCATTTTGTTATGCACACACAACTCTCATCATAACTGATCATATGGCACCAACATGTCACAGATGTACCCTGGTGCGGGGCCGTGTTGAATCAGGCCTCCAACTCCATGAATCCAATTAAGTCCAATAGCTGGGAGCTAAGGTGAGCCCATAGTCTCACGTTACTACTCAGGAATAATATACTAATAGACATGTATACTCAATGACTGGATGTCATGTTCTGGGCTGTTATTGCCTGATCATTTTACCAGTTATGTGCACATTGACATGTTTGTACATTTAGGAATACACACAAAAGGTGAACAAGAATGTTTACAAAGTGTCCCTCTAGCTTGCAGTACTCAACACCCCAAGTCAACCCTTGCCATGCTCAACCAATCCATCACAATCATATGAAAGTGTCTTCAATTAAGATATGTAAAAAATGAACACACAAATGCTTGCATGGTTTCAATTCTTTATTATTGGCAATATGGACAGCTATAGGGCTCCTCGACTGGTGGGAACCCCATACATTTGATGTGGTACCAACAACCACATAGACCGCATGCAATCTGCAAAGATGAATGTTAGTGTTCAGTAAACATTAATGTCATCTTAAAAAAACTCACCCAGGGATCACTATCAGGCCCACTGTCATCCTCCTCACACTCGTCCTTCATCCCTGTGCAGCGGAACCCGCAATTAGAGCAGTACTCTGATAGGTCGTCTGAAATCCAATTAGTTATGTGTCATTCTCACACAATCCTTACAGTGTGTCAATTAACTCTGTGGTACCAGTGTTTTGAAGGAGGGTGCGTGCTATTTGCAACCTGTGCCGATTTACCCCTGCAGCATCCGACTGGAAAGCCACCTCCTCCCCTTAAAGGATCATCTCAGCCAGCTGTGAAAAAGGTAAGTTGTCATTGGTGGACTGCATTGAAAATGTAAATACACACCTTGCAAACAAATACACCACATGAGGTGCCATCACTCTGTCGGGGGTGGTTTATGGTGTAACACCGCCAGGTGCTGAGGTCCAGTGAAGGCCTGCACCTTTGCACCAGCTCCCTGCAAAAATATTCATTCACTTAAAGGCCACAGTGGGATTGAAGTTTCAAAGAATCCTACAAACCTAGTTACACTGCGGCACGTTTCCACCTCCCCCGGACTGGCACCAAAGGGTTGAGGTACAGTGCCCTCTTCTCCCTCACATACATGATCTGCAGGAGGATGGGAGGGTGTGTATTATACAATCCAATAAATTAGGGATACGAGAATTATGACTGAGGGAAACCATAGCTATAAACTCAGAGCTTGTGCCTATAATTAACCTTACCACAAGTGTCCAGTGGTGGCCTGAGCAGACTGCACCAAATGCGACTGAATGTTTGAAGAGTCCTAGCTAAAACATGAATAGTAAACAATGAACATTTTGATACTTTAACAACCATTTCTAATCAAGATTTGGATAGCCTATCTTCTTAACATTGACCCTACTCTTACCCTCCCAAATTGGGGTTCAGGGTGAGCGAGTCAATCAAGCAACCGTCCACCCTTCTGGCCAGCAAGTGCAAGTAGGGGTTCACGACCTGCAAAGCACAGCGTATGAGGACATTAAGTCATTAGTACACAATAGGACACACCTCACTCTCCACCTGTTTCCCAGGGCCAAGGTTCATAAAATCGCCTGTGAAGAGCCTAAATGGCCCTATTCTACTCCACAGCACATGCCCTGGGCTCACCCTGCTGCAATCAGCTGTAGGACTGGAAACCAGCAGAATTGACAGAGGTTTGAAGGAAATGTGATATTTATGCATTACTTACAGCCCTCCATAGCCTCAGGAGTGGGTGCCCTCAAGTCTGGAGACTCGCTGTCCTCTGGAAGTGGAGCACCCAGGTCCACCTTTTGGGGAGCGCTGAGGTCCAGCGGAGGTGGAGTGCCCAGGTCTATTGGTGGTGGAGTACCCAGGCGCAGTGGAGGTGGAGTACCCAGGTCCAGCTTCTGGGGACAGCTCAGGTCCAGTGGAGGTAGGTCGGCCACGTTCAGAGAAGGTGGGGGGACCACTTCCATCTCTCCTACATCCCCCCAATCCCCATTCGTTGGAATCCTAGAGCAAGGAACTATATATGGAGTCATATGGTCGATGCTCATGCACTTTCGTACAGTGCCATCGGGGGCCTTCAGGCTGGCAGTCTTCCCATCCAAGCTGAAGATGCGGAAAGGCCCCCAGCATGTCCCTCTCCAGTTTGCCGCCTTTCCTCTGCTCTTGGCGTATGTTTTTGACCAGCACAAAGTCCCCCACACGGAACTGGTAATCCTGGCCAGTGAGTTCCCTCTTTTGCTGCCTCTTCTGCTGACTCTTGCTGTTATTGGCTAAGGCTACACCCTGCTTGACCCCTAGGGTCTGCAGGCCAGGCCAGAGCTCTTCTGCCTCCGCCAAGGCGTTCACGCGGCTCTCCTCCACCTGTTTGATACAAAAGCAAAGCAACAGTAGAAACCAAGTACATACAATGAGGGCAACAGTGACTTTACCTCATACTGCTCTGGAATTCCAGATGGGAATTCCCATATAGAAGGTAATACGGACTATGCCGAGTGGTCAGCTGCATTTTTGTCCTCAATGCGAACATTGTGGCCTGGAGGTACTCCTCCCATGTATTAGGATGGTCCCCCACCATTGTATTAAGGCACCTCCGTAAAACAAATAAATGCATTATTAGTCTCAATCATGAGATGGAGAAGGATGACGTGCAAAGCATTAAGGCACTGATACAACATACAATTAAATAAAGAATAAAGACGATTTCTCACCTCTGAATGGTCCCATTCATCTTCTCCACCAAGCCATTGGTGGACGGGTGGTAGGGGGAGCACATACTGCGCTTCACCCCTAGTTTTCCGCATACTGCTGTATTCAACTGAATTCACATGCAATTATGACACAATCTTGAATATGAACAGGCTTATTCTTCCCTCGGCCTACCTTATTGATGAATTCAGTGCCACGGTCTGTAAGGATCCTCTTTGGGGCGCTGAAGCGATGAAAAAACTCCAGAATGCAGCCAGTCACCTCTTCTGCAGTTTTGGTCTTCAGAGGAAAGGCCTCCACCCACTTAGTATAATAATCAATCATCACGCAGATGTATTGGTGGCCTTGGGGAGTCGGGTTTAGCTTCCCCACCAGGTCCACCCCGACCAATTCAAATGGCTCAGTGACCTATAGATACAACATGATCGACATGATCTGAAACATGCAAAACTGAGAAAGACATTGGATTCCTTTGCAAAGTGTGCATCCCCCTCCTCTGTCTGCATAGGTAGTGCATTGCCCCATCTGACTGTACACAGAAAACGTGCTAGCAATTATTATTTTTCCTCTTTGGGCCACCACATAGTAAATATCTTTGACACTCACCTTTTATTTTTTTCCTACAACCCACATAGTAAATATCTTTGACACTCACCTTTCATTGTATAGTTTGTAGCCCGTCGTCTGATAGTAGACTTTTGAATGTCCGACGGAAAAGGGGGTAGGCGGCCATGCACCAACCACTCCAAAATGTGATCAAACTTTGTACGTTCCATAATGATAAACTAACACTGGCTCACTGGCTCAATCTAATAAACTAACACTGGCTCACTGGCTCAATCTAATAAACTAACACTGGCTCACTGGCTCAATCTAATAAACTAACACTGGCTCAATCAAATAAACTAACACTGGCTCACTGGCTCAATCTAATAAACTAACACTGGCTCAATCTAAATGTACTATTGCTAAACTGCTGACTCTCTAGGAACTACCGTGATCACAAGTGGATGGGAGAATGATAAATATCTATGGTGGCCTTTTATACTCTAACGAAGTAATAACACACCTGAATCTAATCAAAAGAGCCATCCTCCTTGACTCACCACCTGCAGGGGGACCAGTGAGGGGCTGATGCTCTGAAATGGGTGGCACCCCCAGAATTGGATGAACACCTTGCCTGCCATAGGCAGCTGTTTGTCTGAGACCTGTGATTTAATTCAAACTTCCATCTACTTGATTGGGGATTACAGGAGAATAACAAATGCTACAAACAAACCTTTTTGTCATGATGAGCGTTGTCCGTCGCCAGTCTTTTGGAACATGGGTTCAGATTTCACGTATTCATAGTACACAATATGCTGTGGGTCTTACAAATTAGTGCAAATAATCATACATGGCTAACAGGCAATGTATGACACCCTAAAGTCTACAATAAGACGACTGGCAAAGAGACGCACACTTTGGGGGGAAGGTGGTTTGCTCAGTCAAAGAGACAAACGATATATTCATAGAATATATGGCTGGGAGAAACCCCAAATTTTTATCGCTTTTGGCACCCCCACAGAGGATCCTCACAGACGTGGCACTGAATTCATCAATAAGGTATGCCTAGGGAAGAATAAAGGGGCGTTCACACCGGACTTAACTTCGGCGTCAAAAGCGTCAGGTTTCCATTGAAAGTGAATGGTGAAGCGCGTCAGGTGAAGCCGAGAGCCCCGGCGTCACTTGACGCGCGTCAAAAGCTTCAAGAGTCGCGCGTACTACGCGCTCACTTGAAGCTTTTGACGCGCGAAACGCTCGCGTATCACAACAATCCCTTTGACGCCGAAGCTGAGCAAAGCTGAGCTTTTGAAGCTTTGACGCGGGCTTCAACCAATCAGGAGACGAGGAGCAGCAGCAGCAGAGGGTCTGTCTCTGTCATGAAGAGAAGTCATGTATCTACTGCTGCTGTTTTATTGTCATTATTGTTATTAGTAATATTATTTGTATGAGTAGTAACATTCTGAGTAACAAAAATCATTGTATACATGCTGTGTAGTAAACGTAGTTTATTTAAAATAAGAACAGGCTGACGATGAGTCTGGCTCAGAGCAAGGCAGCTCCGAGCGGGCGAGAGCCGGGGAGAGGCAGGGAGAGGCGAGAGCGAGGCGGGGAGAGGCGAGCGAGAGCCGGCGAGCGAGAGCCGGCGAGAGGCAGGGAGAGCCGGGGAGAGGCGAGCTCCGGGGTTTGAGAACTCAGACTGGGCGAGTGACATGCGGAAGTACCGCTGAAAGCGAAACTCCTCCGTACGCAGCTCCTGGAGTAAATGACGGAACTCTGCAAACACTGCAGCCTCTCAAGTCTGTGGTGAACCCAGCGCATGTTTTGTTGAAGCCCTACAACAACGTTATTTTGCTTTATATAACAAATAAAGGCTCGCTGCTCATTGAAAAATCCACCGCTGTCCTGACTACAGACAACAGAGAAGCTCCTCCCACCGGCGTCAGGCGCGTCACTCGCGTCAAAAGCTTCAAGCACCAAAATGACAAAACTATCCCGGCGTCAGTTGAAGCGCGTCAAAAGCTTTTTGAAGCTTTTGGTCTGAACGCGCCTTAAGGCTGTTCGTGTTCAGGATTGTGTCATTGCTTGTGAATTCCGTTGATTACAGCAGTATGCAGACAACTAGGGGTGAAGCTCAGTATGTGTTCCCCCTACCACCAATGGTTTGATGGGGAATATGAATCAAATAGACCTTAAGGACATAGGCAACAAAGTGGGTGTTTCCGTATGGACAGCAAGGATGAGGAGACCGCCAGCCTGAAGCCCCTGATGGCACTGTGAGAAACGTGTGTGACTTTGGGGTACCTGTTATGGAGGGTTGTTAGTGGAGCATGAATCTCACAATGTTGTTCACACCTCTGTCTGTATTCCAGTTCTACAGCTGATCACAGCAAGCATCTATCACAAGGTTCAAAGAACTAATACAGCCAATGTTGAATACTGTTGCAGGTGATTGACCAAACGGTGGACAACACTATGGAGTCTTTAAAATCTGCATTAAATGCAGCAGCTCCTTTAAAACAGAAAACCATTAGGATTAGATCATCGTCGCCTTGGTACAGTGTTCAACTCCACACTTTAAAACAGGACGTCAGAAAATTGGAGAGGCTATATCGCCACTCCCACTCGGAGCCTGTCCACAGGGAGTGGAAAGCAGGTCTCCGAAACTACAAGAATGCCCTTCGCAAGGCTCGAACTCAATACTATTCAACTTTAATAGAAGCAAATAAAAATAACAGTAGATTTTTGTTTAGCACCGTCGCTAAACTCACAAACTGCCATAGCGCAATCGAGCCTAAAATTCCAAGCTCACTGAGCAGTGTCGACTTTCTCCACTTCTTCAATAATAAAATGACATCCATTGGTGACAAACTGGAGGAGGTTACTCCTGCTGTTGGTAGTGGACAGGCTGAAGCGGCATACGTGACTTCCCACTTAGACTCTTCAGTGGGCCTCGATAAATTCATGGCTGTGAGCCAAGCAGAGGTGATCTCTGTGGTCACATCCTCAAAAGCCTCAACTTGCATGTTAGACGCAGTCCCGACATGGCTCTTCAAAGACATACTTCCTTTGATAATTGAGCCTATCGTAAATATAATAAACGCATCCATACAATGTGGCTATGTCCCACAAGCTTTTAAAACCGCGGTAATCAAACCCCTTCTGAAGAAAACAAACCTGGACCCAGAAATACTTACAAACTACAGACCGATCTCGAACCTCACTTTCATATCTAAAATCCTGGAAAAACTTATAGCTGAGCAGCTTCGCTGCCACCTGCAGGAAAATAATATGTTTGAAGTCTTTCAATCAGGATTCAGAGCTCATCATAGCACTGAAACGGCACTAGTCAAAGTCACAAATGACTTACTACTAGCTGCCGATAATGGACAAGTGTCAGTGCTGGTCCTACTGGACCTTAGTGCTGCATTTGACACAATAGACCACAGCATTCTACTGCAGAGGCTAGAATGTGATATAGGTCTTAGAGGAACAGCCCTTGGCTGGTTTAAATCCTATTTATCAGATCGGTATCACTTCGTCAACGTAAATCGAACTCGTCGCCTTATTCTGGAGTAGAATTCGGTGTGCCGCAGGGTTCGGTACTCGGACCGATTCTTTTCACTCTCTACATGCTGCCGTTAGGAAACATTATTAAAAAGCATGGAATTAATTTCCACTGCTGCAGATGGCACACAGCTTTATCTGTCGATGAAGC